GCTGGCTGTTCCCTATCACCTTACCACCTTCCAAGTGTTTGCAGATGATTTCCTTAATTACTTGCTCCATTATCTTCCCTGGCACAGAAGTTAAACTAACTGGTCTGTAGTTTCCTGGGTTGTTTTTATTTCCCTTTTTATAGATGGGCACTATATTTGCCCTTTTCCAGTCTTCTGGAATCTCTCCCGTCTCCCATGATTTTCCAAAGATAATAGCTAGAGGCTCAGATACCTCCTCTATTAGCTCCTTGAGTATTCTAGGATGCATTTCATCAGGCCCTGGTGACTTGCAGGCATCTAACTTTTCTAAGTGATTTTTAACTTGTTCTTTTTTTATTTTATCTGCTAAACCTACCCCCTTCCCATTAGCATTCACTAGGTTAGGCATTCCTTCAGACTTCTCGGTGAAGACCGAAACAAAGAAGTCATTAAGCATCTCTGCCATTTCCAAGTTTCCTGTTACTGTTTCTCCCTCTTCACTAAGCAGTGGGCCTACCCTGTCTTTGGTCTTCCTCTTGGTTCTAATGTATTGATAAAAAGTCTTCTTGTTCCCCTTTATTCCCGTAGCTAGTTTGAGCTCATTTTGTGCCTTTGCCTTTCTAATCTTGCCCCTGCATTCCTGTGTTGTTTGCCTATATTCATCCTTTGTAATCTGTCCTAGTTTCCATTTTTTATATGACTCCTTTTTATTTTTTAGATCATGCAAGATCTCGTGGTTAAGCCAAGGTGGTCTTTTGCCACATTTTCTATCTTTCCTAACCAGCGGAATAGCTTGCTTTTGGGCCCTTAATAGTGTCCCTTTGAAAAACTGCCAACTCTCCTCAGTTGTTTTTCCCCTCAGTCTTGATTCCCATGGGACCTTACCTATCAGCTCTCTGAGCTTACCAAAATCCGCCTTCCTGAAATCCATTGTAGCCAGTCTGCGACTGCTAGCAGTAAATATCTCCAATGGCTGGTGATGGGACACTAGATGGGGAGGGCTGTACGTAACTACAGAGAATTCTCTCTCAGGTGTCTGGCTGGTGAGTCTTGCCCACATGCTCAGGGTCTAACTGATCGCCATATTTGGGGTCGGGAAGGAAGTTTCCCCCGGGTCAGATTGGCAGAGAATCTGGGTTTTTTTCGCCTCCCTCTGTAGCATAGGGCACGGGTCACTTGCAAGTTTACACTAGTGTCAATAGTGGATTCTCTGTAACTTGAAGTCTTTAAGCCATGATTTGAGGACTTCAGTAACTCAGCCAGAGGTTAGGTGCCTATATCAGGAGCGGGTGGGTGAGGTTTTGTGGCCTGCAATGTGCAGGAGGTCAGACTAGATAATCATGATGGTCCCTTTTGACCTTAAAGTCTATGAGTCTATGTATACCTTTTTTCTCCTGTCAAGATCTGCAGTGTTAGACTCATGGTAACCATTACAGCATCCTGTTTTTACAGGCTACAGGATCTGAAAAATAATACCAACAAAAATTTTAAAACTCTAAAAGATTTCTAAATGCTTTCCTATAAAATATCAGATATATACAAAATTCATCATTATGGTGTATACTAAAGGGAATAATACCAGGGCCTTAGGAGAGAGAATTTTTGAAAACCATACTAAATTAAAGACAGAATCAGGAAAGCCACTGCTTACAAACTGAAGGAAAACTCTGTTATTGGCCTATCAAATACTTTAGCTGCTCCTTTCAACTAATAGTTTGGAAAAACATATAGATATATTTTATATTACATTGTGCTTTTTTCCCCATGCTTTGCACAACACAACTTATTATGAAATAAAACCACAAACACAGTATCAGCAGAAATCACAAATTTATTAATCCTTAAATATATTTGTCAGTCATTTACCATTATGGCAAGAAATATGTACACTGTGTCCCATGGTAAACTGCAGTGTTCCAAAATGACAGAAGACAAGTGTATAATTCGATTGTGGTGGAGAGAACGAATCACAATTTCCTCACGTCTTGCTGTGGAAGACAAACTTGATCTACAGTAATACGTCAACACCACATGCTATGTTAAAAATGTAAAAAAAAAAAACCCCACCCTACACCTAATTTTGTTAAATTTAAATACATTTATACTACTTATAGCTGCTTCACAAAAAAAGTAAAGAAATTAATGAGAAAAAAATTAGGCCATTACTTTTTTGTTTTTCACAGATCCCATTGGCAGGTTAATATGGCTCAACACATTTACTGTAAATGCTTATTTTAAATATACATTTTTTTAAAATCATGTAATATTATCAGAGAAGCTTAAATCCATCTACTGTACATCCACTAATAACAACATCAAAGTGTAAAGGAACGTTTTTGATTTATAATCAACACAGAAAGTAAAATTATACAAATTAGGAAGTCTTCCCATTTTAAAAATGTCAGGCTGCTGAGAGCTGTAAATTGTAATTGCTAAAAAGAACACTGATTGAGATATCATGCACTATACAGCACTGCAGAAAACATTTAGCCCCACTGATAATAAAAACAATGAACAACAGCAAAAAAAAAGGGAACAGACAACCCCTCTATTTTTCTATTAAAAATGGGTGGGGGGGAAAGGAGGGAGACTAAATCTAAATGTTTGCAGGAATATACATTCACAGCTATAAAACAGAAGCAAAAACAGTCCAGGTCACAAAGTATATGTTTTAAATTGACACCGAGAGCATTCCCTGCTTACTGTACAGGTGTATGCAGCAACAGAAAAAAACCAAAGAGTTAGTAAGTAATGCTGCAATAGTTGTTGTCCCTAATATTACGCACTGTGCAAGGATTTTAATAAGCCAAGAGAAAATGGGGGGAAAAACACCATTGTAAAGTGTTACAGTATTATTAGAAAATTGGTATATTCATGATGGTTTTCCAGAGTAGTAGCCGCTACAATGGAAAGTAAACAAACTCTTTATACTAAGCTTGTAAGGCCTAATATTTCTAGGTTAAACTAACCACATATCTGGACTAGAGCATAAACAAAATAAAATAACCCTCTAAAGCTTCCTTAATAAATTTACTGTACACCCTGAAAGTGATAAAAATCTATTTTGTTTTATTCTTTCACTTTAATCATCATAAATTTTAATTTTGCTCTTCTATCATCCAATATAAATTTTCAGTTAGCATAAAAAAGTAAAGGTAAAGAATCAAAACAGAAAGACAAAAAATGTTACTGGCCAGAATAGTAGAAGTTAATTCTAAAGTGTTCAAGCCAGCAAATGATACAATTTTTCCAGTTTAATAACTAAAATGGCTTCAGTTGGTACCAATCCAACATATATTTGCTTTCACATTCATCAGTGATTTTATCCATCTTTGTGTTCCAACAAAACTATTCTGCAGCATTAGCAAAGCTCTAACTGGAAATCTCATCGATTTCTACTATGACCCAAAGCAAAACCCAGTGGTTTTGGAAACAAATAAGCCAAAAAACAGTTGTTTAAAAAAACAAAAACAAAATGAGAACATGTACTCTTTTTTCTTTTTTATAAACATAGTAATTTTAAAGTTATTTGTTAAAACTTAGCATTAATAAAGAAAAATGACAAGTGGATTGTGTATCTACTACTGTACACTGATTTTTTGTTTTGTTTTGTCATTTTCAATTTGCTGAAGTGTAAACAAAATGTACAGATGAAATATACAACAAAATGATGCATCAAATGCATTACATGTAGAACCGTCACAGCTTCATGCACTCAGAAACATGCATGAAGAGAAGAACAGGATGGCCCACATGGTAACCAATCAGGTGCTTTGAGTACGGAGAAAGCAAGAGTGGCATTGTAGAATTTTAGCTAGAAAGAGGAAAAAACCCATTATTGCTGTTATTGACTTAGCAATATCACCACTTTATGCAGCACACTACAAGTGTTGGAAAAGTACTATAAAGTCTTCCCCAATCTACAACCTTGCAGGATACTGCTTTGAAAAGCAAGCAAACAAACAAGTAAGCACTTACATTGTTCTTTCCCTCTTCAAATCACCTTATAAACACCAATTAACCTTCACTACCTGCCAGGAGGTTGGTTAAAAGTATCCTTACTTTAGAGTGTGGGAAACTCAGGCAGAAAGCTTTACTGACTTGCCTAAGTCCACAGAAGGGATTAAATTCAGAACTGAAGTCCAAAGGGCATCTAAATTGGTATATTTTACACCACTTTATGGTACCCTCAGTGTGCATATTACACAAACTTATAATGACTGACAGATTCACATACAACTTAACAATATATCATTTACATCCCCACTTTACACACCACCTTTGAATTTGGCCCAGTAAGTTGTGAATGTCAGGGAGTGTGAGCTGATGTCATCATTTGCATGCAGAGGGGCCAGAAGAGGTGGTTAAGAGGAAAAGAAACTAACAGGAATGTGTAAGAATATTTAAAGTAGGCCACTCAATATTATTAATATCATTATTATTTATTGTTTGTATTTCTATAGTGCCTAGGAGCCCTAGTCATGCACCACAGTCCCATCGTGCTAGGTGCTGTACAATCACAAAGCAAAATCTTTACTTAAGCCTTCTTTTGGCTCCTCAGTATGTAATTTATAACAACTTAGATTCCCTTATACACTGATAAATGGGTACAAGGGAATCTAGTGAAGTATTACATCATGTCTGAATTTGGCTTTTGGAATCAGTTTCAGACTCAGTAGTCCCATGGCTGCTAATTCCATGCTGAGACCAGGAGACTACTCTTCTGTGTGTGTGTGCGTGTATGTGTGTGTGTCCACGTCTGTTCAGTAGTTTTGCAAAAATAAGCTAAAAGAACTAATTCATAAGAATACTGAATACAGAGAAAGTTAACAGAGATAATCTCTCATCAAACGTATCACTTCAGTAGATACAAGCAGTGGAACAGATGGAAACCAAAGCTTTTCAGTAATTTTCTTGACTCAGTTAAAAAATAATCTAAGTTTGTGGCCATTTTATGAGCCATGTCAAAGAGAAACATCTCAGTGTGTATACAGCAGCATAGGAGCTCAGTTCTGGCCTCAGATTTAATGTGCATTCATCACTGCAGTCTTGACAAATCAGCTACTGTGCTTCCCCAAGCTGATTTGACACGATCCAGAGAAACATATTCCCGCAAAGGCGGAAGACAATAGCTATGATTACTTTTGTAATTTTATTGTATTTGAAATCTTTTTCTTCAGCCAGTGTGAGAAGATTTACTATGTATTACAAAGTGTGTTAATGAAGGGAAAATATAACATTAATAAATATTCTTATAATGATAGATCTATATCTGATGGAGTGTAAGTATTCTAAATCCAGGAAAGAAAGAAATAATAAGGATATGGTTTTGTGGAATTCCACTTTTGTGAGGCTCCAGAATGGAGATACATTTGCATTGCTATATTCTCTGTGAGAATTGACGGTAAATTCCAAGACCTTATAAAAGATAATCAGGAAGGTTTGTAGAAAGTGACTTCTATGTGTTACTCATGTTGCATAAGTTAAAAACGGTGAGCCTCATTAAAATACTATACCCCATATCTATCATTTACTCCCAAAACTGTAGAATCTACGGCTTGCAGGAATTACTAGGCAAAATTCTAGTTATGCAGGTGGTAGATGGTCATTAAACTAAATGGTCATTAATCTTCCTTCTGGCCTTACTTCTATGCATGTGTGTATGTATGAAACTACTTGGTTCTCTCTAAGTACTTAGCAAAATAAATGCAAGCAGAAAAGTTAAAATGGAAAGGACTAACATTTTCCCTAATCTTGTTCCTGTCATCCTGGTAGGAACCCATGTTTTTCAGTGAGTATCAGGATGAAATATTGATTCTTAGATACTAATCCTTTCTGGACTTTGTCATTTATGCTTTTGGCCCCCACCATGAGATGGGGCAGACTTATTCCACATATCCCTCCAATGTAAAACCTGTGTCTTACAACCACCAAAATCTCTCCTTTTTTGTTACACTAAATATACTTGGTTAAGCACTGGCAGTGTGTTTGGAGCTGTGCAAAACAGAGAAAGACAATGCCCCTGCCACCAACGGGCTTACATTTTAAAATAAACACTATGGTACAAACATACAGATTAATAGATTATAAAGCCAGGTGATGGGTTTCTCTAAAAACAGCATTTTCTTCCTTTTGAAGTTTAACACCACTTTGTTCTATCACTATATTTCATTGGTTGACAGATTGACATTACAAGGCTATGTGGAAGAAGCATGTTGTAAGGAGGGAAGGTAATTGATGCAACAAGGCAAGGTGGGAATGCCAGGTATAAAGAATAGCACAAAGGCATAAGTGGGAGAAACATAATAGCAAAGTTACGTGGGAAAGGAAAATTAGAAAGAATAAAAAAATAAAGAAATGTGAGCTGTAGACATGAATGGACTGAGGCAGAGCCTTGAGAGTGAGGACAAGAGGCTTGAACATGATACCAGAGATGACAGGAATCAAAGTTGTGACAGGAGCAGACAAAATGGATTATTACAAGAGCAATTTTGGATAGACTAGCTGGGGCAATGTGGAAAACAGGGAGGCTATGGGAGAAGGAGATTGTTGTAGTCAAGGCAGGAGATCACCAAAGGAAATGCGTACAAGCACGGTTAAGCTGTGAGGATGGAAAGGATAGATTTTCAAGATGTGGTAGAGGAAGAGCCAAAGGATTAAGCGACATCATGGAGGTAGAAAGAGGAGTCTAAAGTAACACTGAGGCCTTGTCATCCGAGTTTGCAATCTCAAGAACTGCCTCCACTAAGGAAATTCACACTGGTGTAAGTACATTGAAGTGCAATCCTCAAATGTAGATGTGCTGCTACAGTGCAGCTTAATTTGGGAACATACCAAAGTAAGCTGTAATGGTATAGCATGTCTACATTAGGAGTTGACACACTGATGCTGTTGCACCAATAGGAATTTTCTTAATGTAGACAGGGCTGCAGTTTGCAAGCCTGAATCATGGGGAGAGCAGTGGTGTAACTTACATTCATGAGTGGGGGGAAAAGCAGAGGGCTGAGAGGAAAGATGAGGGGCCAGAACCTCAGCTGGTACAACCTGATGTAGCTATGGGATCAATGGACGAACACGATTTACACAACTGAGGATCTAGCCTGAGGAATTCAGTATTTTGCATGCTGAGTCTAAGCTGCTATGATTCCAAGGATGCAATATCAGAAGGTACTTAGAGATGCCTGAACACAGTGGGATAGACCTCAAATAGAGGGAGAGATTTGAGCGTCAACCACACAGACATAGTAACTGAGGCAGTGAGAACTGACCAGGTCACTCAATGGGAAAGTGTAAAGGGGGGAAAGAGAAGAATTTATGATACTTATTTGTATTTTATAATTTATAAAGTAAATAATCTGATTCTAAATCATCTAGCTATGCACATGGCTATTCTGTGTAAGCACTAGGGCTAGCTGGAAAACAGGAAAATGGCTAACATTTTCATTTTTCATCAAAATTTTGTTTTTGTTGAAATTTTCCAGCCAGATCTAAATAATTATATGTTTCCTATCATTTCTCTCTCTTTACTTCCTGCCAGTCCCCATGGACTGTATTTGTTATGCCCACTTTTGTGTCTTGTTTCAGGCCCTGTCTACATCAAAGAAGCTTCCGCCAAAGTAATTACAGCAATGTGATTACACCATTGTAAACCCCTTCATGTAGACATGCTGCACAGGTAGAAAGTGCTGCTGACACCTGTGACGCTCAATCCATGGATTTACTGAAGTAACCTGCACTGGTGCAAGCCCGTCTATGTTAGTGGTAGTGTAACCACATCAGCTGAGTTACACTGGGGCAAACGTCCTTAGTCAAGAGGAGGCCTAAAATTAACACAATTTAAACTCTTCAGGGCAGAAACTGTCTATGTGTATGTACTTGTATGTGTCCTTACTACGTGTACGTACAACACCTCGCACAGTGAAGTCCTAAGCTTAAATGGGCATGATTGTAAACAAATAATAACAAAAATTATTACAAATATTTGCACTAATACTGTATGCAGCATACTGAATTATTAAATGGACTTTGCAGAATTGACAGCGCAGAAGTTAAAAGTAACATTGCAGTGTAAGAGAGTGAAAGTTTTATAGAGTTTAAGGCCAGAAGGGACTTTAGATCATCTAGTCTGACCTCCTACATAACCTAGGACATCCTTACCCCTGTAGTTAATACTGTTTGGATAGATTTCTTACTTGATCGGTACTGTTGGTGACCCTGAACAATGAAAATGAACATTCTGCCATTTGCCATCACGGCGGTGCCAGACCCGGGTCTCCTCGGACTGCATAGTCTTTGGCATTCCACTTCCGTCCATGTACTGCGTCAGCCGTATGTATGCAATGCAGGCAGCATCGTCGCCCACAAGATGGACATGGGGATTGAGGATAATAGTGTGGATTGGCTTATTACTCTTGGACAAAGCTATGGGGGGAAACACACACACAAAATCAATTTTTCCCAAGTAAACCAACAGAGTTAGCCATGTCCCTCAATACTGAAAATGGTATGTAAATATATCAAGATTGGCAGATGCTAAATACTAACCACTGTTTTACTGATAAGCAAGAAAACTAGCACAAAAAGTTG